ATGTTAAACAGACGTATCAATAAAATAGTACGCATTACCTTTCTCCTAGCAGCTCCTTCCCATTGAGTTCGTAGACGGCGTCGTCGGCATCCCTGTAGTCATCGAACTCCTGCGAACAGAATATTTTGATTACAATTTAAAATAGAGAAGAGCCAATTCACAATCTTTTACATGCAGCAGAATCTTATATCAGTCTCGTGATGCAATATTTCGCTAACGGTTACAGAGCATACCTTGTGTAACATAAATGTATACAGTATATATTTAGAAAAATATATTTGGGTAATAATTGAAATAAGTCTGATTCATTACAAAATGAGAATTCTGGTTGGATAAAATTCCATTGCATTGATTTTATCTCTAAAGAATAAATATCGGAAGATATTTTCAACATGATACTGTTCTTTACCATTATCATGATCATTAAGTCTTTTGTTGTTCTTTTCTTTTTACCTCGGAAGTAATAAGCAATTAAGTGTTTGTTACTTGTAACACAATTTCCTTTTGATTAAGTATAACTTACAAACATTTTGTTGATTAATCGATGAAAACCAGCACACATCTCCATTAAGCAGCCACAGTACCAATGTGTTCAGGGCTCAAGGTAGATCAGATCAACTCTCGAGTTTGAGTTATTTTTCAAAGTGAAACACTTTACACTCTACACACTTTGGTCCGCAATAAACTTTTAAGTCTACATCTTTCAGTGACTTAAAAATGTTTTTCAAACATTCGATATAGGGAGCAGAAAAATGTTACTGATAATTATGTACATGAGACAGGACCAAACGGAGTGTAGCAGTGTTAGGGACAAATGTATAATTTAGTACAGTACTTACAACAAAGCCGTAACCATTCTTGATGAGGACATCACGGAATCGACCGTAGCCTCTGAAAAATCTCTCAAGGTCTCTTTCCCTGGTGCCGTATGGAAGCCCACCGACATAGACCCTTGTCCCTACCATACTGTAAAAAAAACAATTGAACCACATTAGACTTACCACAAAGGCAAATCCATTCTTCATAGCGACCTCCTTGATTCTACCATATTTCCGGAAGAACTTCTCAAGGTCGCGCTCTCTCACCCGGTATGTTAATCCACCAACGAATACTCGGGTGCTCATTCTTAAAGGAAAATATAAAAACACCATACATAACAGGCTTCCTTAAGAACCTGCCATTTTTAGTCACATGACAACATAAGAACCGTTACGTTAATTTTCCTGATCATTCTGGCTGAGAATTGCAATGCAACTCGTGAAACTGACATTAGTGGGACTAATTCATGTTTTTCAAATAGACTTCAAGTGACAAAGCATCGAAAGACTCGAGATTCTAATAATAAAAGATGGTTCTTTACATTACAGTATACACTATATACAAATTGATCGAAACAAGTCACAAGTGCAATAAAGAAGTGCCTTTAAGAAAAAGAACTACAAGATTGTTGCTAAATCAAGTAATACACGTTTCTTTATCATACAACTTTCATTGATCATCGCATACAACACATTTAAATAGCAGGACCTTAAAAAACTATACGGGAACAATATACTAAGCATAAAATAAATTTTGTTTGCAATAATCGCAATGACAAGGGAGGATCAAACAACATGCTGTTTATTACAACAAAAAAATATGGATGTGTGAACAGTATTATTCGCCTTGAGAACATTTAGTGTTAATAAATACATACACATGATAAGAATGGAGGCAACCCATTTTAAGTAACAATGAACATTTTGAAAGATACACTAAAGGAATTAATATACTCTTGTTTCCCGATGAAGATGTAAACAAAAGGTAAAATAGTTTGTTAACCGAACAGTTTATTACTCCAAGTTTCTTTTGAAGCTCGAGAAAAAAATAACTTAGTGCAAAATATTAGATTAATATTAAGCACATCTCATGCACTTGTAACAAAAAGACTGTTATATCTATATACATTTGCAATAAAAGTGTGTTTCAACATTCGGTGCATCAACCAGGCATGAATCACTATAGCATATGCTTTTACATGTTTATGTCTTCATGCTTACTCAGCCAAAAACGTGTGTTTAGTCAAAGGTGAATGTTAAAGCATCAGCCGTATCCGGTACCCCCAGTAATTTAAACAAAAAAAAGAAAACTATTCACAGTTGATGGGAAAAAGCAATTAAGCGACACGAGAGGCAAATCTTTTGTTTTAACATACGTAAATGCCACAATAATTAGTGATAACTATTCGAACACTTTCCCGCCGTTACCCGTACAACCGTTTCTTCTCCACCAACTGTATAATTAGATGTACTTTATTTTGTGTGAACAGTACCGAATCCGTTTGATGGGACGAGCAAGAAAATAAAAAAACAAGCAAACACATGTAAATCACGATGAATGAACTTTTCAATCTGCAGTTGTAACATTAACCTTTAAAGCGTATACAACGATTTACCTATTTGTTTTTGTCTCGTTGGTCCGTGGTCCTGTTTAATCTGTTAACCGGGCGATTTGTTGGCCACGAACACTTGCGTAAGAACAATTAAAAATAAAAGAAAGTAATTTATACCGGCCGACCGATATCGAGGTAAAATTCGATCGACAAAAGATAAATAAAAATAACGAATTAAATGATCTTTCTCGGTTAACAGGTTAAAGTCCACGTCAATGTACCGTTAAGCATCGATTACTTCCGTTTAATTGTATACTTTTTTAAAGGTTAAAAGCCAACGGGGTATTTTGTTATTGAACGAGCACTTCGTTTGAAATGAACAATTTGTGCAACGGTTATTTGCATTTGAAAAAGGAAGAATTTGGTTGAAATATGTGGTACATATCACAAGCGAACAAGAACGCGTACACTTTTATCGGACGTTCGTTTCATAAAATGGCGGTCGTGTAATCGCTTAAAGAAATCCTAAGCTATGCGTGGTGATCACGGGGACGCGGAAACGAAACGCGACATGTTTAGAGATAGCGTGGATATACCGATTCGACGGAAAATTCTATTTATTCTACGATATTACGATCATTTAGAGAAAGTTCCTCAAGATCAACACATCGTGTTGCGTAAACAGTAGCAATTAATATCCAAAATGAAACTTGTGAATTATTTATTAACGATGGAAAGAATTGTAAAGAATAGCAAATTGCGTCGTATCTTTGATTACAGTACGTTTTTACAATCGAAGTCATGTGACGCAGAGTATTGAAAGTATCGCCACGTCATTAATGTACGCTACGGTAAATTTTCGGAACATAAGTTTCATTAAAAACGATGAGAAAAAAAAACGCATAGAAGACTTTGTTATCGATTTACCGTTAATACGTCGTAACAAGGGAAGCTAACAGTCGTCGCAGATCGTCGTACCTGCTTTTTATCCGCAAAATGAGATATTTCCAAACAATTTATATCATTCTGTGAATGGACGCGATATTAGAGATCAAAGAATATGTTTATAAACTTACCTGAATACACGTGAAACAACGTTGTTTCGTCCACTAAAACTTTATGTTGTTTCACGACACGATACCACTCAAATTACTAGAAGAAGTAATGATCGGCGTCTGGAGTAAGATGGCTCGCCGCAATAACGGAAACAAAACGGGGTTCACATGACGGAAAACAAAGTTGCTGCCACTGTGAATCTCGATGGCAGACGCCCAATTCGAAACATTTGTAATAATTTAATGAAAATTAAAGCAGTTACGCTTAAATAAATAAAATCAATGTACATGGAACTTATGTTAATTTTATTAGAAATGTAGTTTATGCAATAATAATCTATAAAATATTTTATTACAGTGTGTTATCCCTTCCCTCCAAATGGTTACATTACGATTAAATTACTTATGAAGTATGTTTAGAGTAATAAACTTTACGCATACTCGTTCTTTAATTAATCCTGCACTGTCGTAATTTTCTAATAATTATTAATAACTTTTATAATATTACCAGGCAATTGTAAATGCTCGTAGAATGTAATTTGGGTTCGAGAGAAATTTACGCAGTCACATCGAGCGCGAAGTTTGAACGATAGAAAGCAACGTTAAGCTTTAATATCGTTACTGACAAATATTTAATTATTTAATTTGTTATTTACAGATGTTTTTAGAAAATACGTTCTAAATATTATAACGAAATATCTAAGTAGTCTTCAATACTGTATCGTGAATGTTTATTTGAAATCTGAAATATGTCATCCATTGTTTCTTATCGTTATTCAAAAATGTTTTACACATGAAATAAAAGTTAGAAAGATTTTTCTTCGATTCTAATTCAGATAGTCTAATTAATCGAAATGCTATGTTAGAAATTCGTTATTACAAAAATCAAGTTCTAAACATTCCTTTGCTTCTGTAATTTATGTTGAAATAAATTATTACAATAACAATTTGTGTCGTAGGATATTTCAGAAAGGTGAAATTTATTAGATAAAATAGGTGTGTGTAATATATTCTGTAAAATTAAAATTAACAATAAAATTCGTTAGTCGGCAATAAATGTTGGTAAAGCCGTCGATGGCTATAAGTTGGCTAGGCTGGCGCCACCTATTGAAAACAAAAATGGTGGCCAACAATATGCCCTATCCCTGCCCTGGTTTTATGGCACGCCAAATGTCTGCGTTCTCTAGGCTTCTTTCTACTATGTATTTCCCTTCGACTGATACACCCAATTTCGATGTGAACAAAGGGAATCATTTCCTCGCAGTCGACCCTATCTTACGTGCTAAATAAGTGGGGCTGCTTCTAACCAAACCGAAGGTGATCCAAAACTATCGAATATTTCGCGAAAATTATAACCGCACCAGCTCGATTTGTCGTGTCATTCACCTTATATAATGTAATTGGTTACACACGATTCGATTTGGCGATTATACGCCTTTAACATGTATTGCCCGTTACAGGAAACACGAAAAAACAATCTAGCATTGTGGCAATGCAGTAAGGAGCAAAATCTTGTATGCTTTATTAATTCAGAACGCAAGATAGACGTTTTTATTTCGCAACACGCTATGTACCAATTATGTAAAAAATTTCCTGTCGTCCGTGTCACATGCATCATCAGAGTCATTTAACATATTTAATGAAATGTCAAAATAATCACAGAATCACATTAGGTTTGTATGTATATTGCAGTAAAGTATTTGTTACCTTGACAACTGGCCTGTCAGTGTTATTATTTTCAATGAATTCTTTTGCTTCGTTCATTCGATAAAACATGTATTTTTAAGTAGTTTTTCTTATGTGTTAGAGACAATACAATACAATTTAAGGAGTATGATGAACGTTGCTTTTAACATTAATAAAGCTTTTGAAGGATTGTTCTTTATAGGATCTTTTTCTTATTATCGTAGGTTGTTGAATTTTATAGAGACTGGTAATGACAGATAGGGCACACACAATGAGGTTGGAAGCAGAAATGGCTGCTCCTTTGCATTTGCAAAGATTGGAGCGCAGCCTTAATGTACAGCCCTTCTTGAGACAAATCAATGAGTTGTTCCAAGATCCAGCTAGGTAGCTTTTTAATAGTAAAGGAAATTTTCACTGAAAGATGTACAGGAATGTTTCTTATTTTCATTAATTCTTCCAGCGAGGATGAGAAATCTGTGTCGTCAGAATCTTCTGAAGGATCAGACAATTATCTTGATAATGTATTGATCCGAAAAGAAGGTGTGCAAATCGTTTTAATATTTTGCAATTAAAGTCTTAGTTTGTACAATTGAGTAATAGTTATTAATTTTACAGAGGATAGAATTAATAAGTTAAGGCTGTACAATATGTCAAGTGTGGGAGAGGAACGTAGGTGGCTGCAGGACATACTTTTAAGCGATTCATCAGATAGTTCAGCATCAGGATCCGATACGGATAGCCCCATCACGGAAGAAGATTTTCAAGAAATGTTAAAATTCCATATACTGAGAAAAAAATATCAAGGCAGATTCTATCAGAAGCCAGAGGTAAAATCAAATTTTGAGTTAAGATTAGTGAAGCGACTAAAATTGATAGTAATATGAAATTTTTGTTTACAGAACATACAGTACCAGTACTACAGTGCTGGCTTATTGTCAAATTATGACAGATTTTTAGAACATCAAAAATTAATAGTGGGAAATAAAAAGAAGAAAGAGAAGAAACCCGAGAAGAAAGTTATGAAAATCAAGAAGGAGAAAGTCCCTCGACATAGACCATCTGATGATTATCCTGTATGCTTATAAATCAGAAGTTATTTCCGTGCTGTTCGCAATTAAAACATTGTTGTGTTTCGTTTTTAGGACGGAGAATATCCGGACGACGAATGGGATCGTACACTGCCTAGGGAAGAAGAATTAGATGAAGCTGAATTAGAAGCAATAATGCGCCATCAACCGCGACAGCGTGGGAGAAAGAAGCATAATAATAAAAGTCCAGAGGTAATGGCGATGAGGAGAAGAAAAATCTGGGTGATGATGTCTAAGAAAGAACTGGGAAAAGTACAAAGAGCGAAAACCAATAATCATAAGGAAATGTTAATTAGTTGTAAGAAAGTAGCACAGCACTGCATGAAGTATTGGAGACAAAAGGCTATGCAGGTAAGAATTTTTTGCATCAACGGTCGTCTGTAAGTATTTCTGGATATTTTCGGGGATTGCAATGTACATTTTTAATTATTCAGTCCCAAAAGAATATGAAAGAGACCATATGGAGGGCAAAACGTCTCACGAGAGAAATGCAATCGTACTGGAAACGTTATGATCGCGTTGAACGTGAAACTAGAAGAAGACTAGAAAAAGAGGCTGAGGAACAAAGGAAAATGGATGTCGAACTCATTGAGGCGAAACGTCAACAGAGAAAATTAAATTTTCTTATTACACAAACCGAATTGTATGCTCACTTTATGTCTCGAAAATTGGGCAAAGCTTCACCCGAAGAACAGTTGAGAATCTTAAATCAATTGGATGAAGAGAAAAATCCAAGACTCGTCGGAATTGATGATTATGATAGGTAAATATTTCTAACAAACA